ATTAGAAGATTGAAATTGCTGAGCTAAAAGATTGATTTCATTTTCAGATGTATCGGTTTCTGATTGATGAGAAATAACATCTAGGGTAGGTTGTTGGTTCAATACAGTAAGACCTTTTTCAGTTGAGGGAGAAGCGGCTTTTTCATTGGAAGGAGAGGCTAATTTAGTGAATAATTGTTCTATGATTTTAACAATAGAACTATCCTGAGTAACCAAACTATTTCTGGTTGAACGTTGACTAGGTAAATTAAGTAAAGGTTTTTCTAAAGGTTGTTTTATAGAAGAATGAGTATTAGAATAATCTTCTAAATTTGTTTCTATTTTATCTAACTGTTTTCCAATTGTTTTTAGGCATTGGTTAGTATAATTATTTTGTTCAATGACTTTCTTTAATTCAAGTTCAGTACCAACTATCTTAAAAGGAGAAGCTTTAATACTAGATCCTTGGTGTTCTATGATAATAGTTTCTAATGGAGGGTGACTAGAACTAATAGTAGTATTAGAAGAAGTTTTTCATTTAGTCTTTTTAATTGTATTGACCTTTTTGTATTAATTTTCCAAATATTCAAAGAAAGGAACTTCTATACTATGTTCAGATATGAATTTATACCATTTTCGAGTAATTTTGGATTGTTGATGAGGATCATATTTAAGTCGGTAAGCTTGGCGTTTGACTTTATTATTTTTAGATTTAAATTCAGTATATAATTTATCTAAGTCAGGAGCAAAAGGTTTACTAATAGTTAATAATTGGGGATTTATTGGAGGTATGACTTCAAAGTCAGTTTGTGTTGGTGAATCCTGAGAGACAGTATCATCTTCAGGAAGATGAGTATAACTTGAATAGACAGGTTTACTAATCTGTGAAGTTGCAGAATCATGAACTCCTTGCTATGGGAAGTTTGACCAATATGAATTTGACTGTTTTTTTTTTAATAAAGGTATATTAAATATTTCATCTTCTATTTTAGTGTCAGTTGGTATATTAGAAGTACTATGTCTAGAGGATTGAGTAGATCTATTAAATTTAATTCTAACTGAGCCATCAGTAAATTACTGAATGTCTTGGATGTCTTGACCAGTAGACTGTTTTTTATTATGTTTGTAATTTTCATTGACTGTAACCTATTGGTCTGGGAGAGTAATACCCTTCCATTCAATCATTTTAGGAATATTTATGTTAGTATCATTACTACTACTTTGAATCAGTAAAGTTTTGTCTTTACAATAACTTAGAAAATATGAAGAAGAAGAACTCCGAAAATATGAGGAAGAAGGAATATATTTCTGTTATATTCAAAACTTCTTATCTTACAAGACCAAATGACACTCCTTATATAGGAGATATTACAAACATCATCATAACCCATTATATGCCACTTACATATTATATATTACCACAATCTACCACTATCATATTATATACATGCCACTATCTACCACCAACACCACTATCATATTATATACATGCCACCATCTACAACCAACACCACTATCATATTCTATACACACCACTATCTACCACCAACACCACTATCATATTATATACATGCCACTATCTACAACCAACACCACTATCATATTCTATACACACCACTATCTACCACCAACACCACTATCATATTATATCGGGGATGACCAGGTAGACCCAAAAAATTTAAAAACTGTCTAAGAATATGTTCGGATGGATGACTGGGTAGATCAAAAATTCAAAAACTCTCTAGTTTACCAAACTTGTTTTAAAAATATGTTTTGAAATTAATTTAGAATGATGATTTGAGAATCAAACTAAACACAACCATAATTTTTTAATTAAGTATAAAAAGAAAGTAAGTGTAAAGGAAAACAAAAAAGTGTGACGGTATATAAAGCACCTTAAGATTCAACTTTATAAATACACCAGCATTTTCAATTGAAAGTATGAAAAATAACAAAAACTGAAGGAAAAATATATGGGTAATCATATTATCTGACGTGAAAACTCGGTTTGGATCGAATACTTAAATTACGAGTCTCATTTGAAAAATTCTCCGTCAACTGAGAAGTTACTAGAGTTTCTCAATATTTATCTACACTCCAAATTCCTAAGTTTTCAAGATGGTAGCTTCAATATAGATGAACAGAGAGAGAAAATTTGTGGTTTTTGGTGTATATACACAATGTTGAGTATGAACCCTTACATAGGTATATATGGAAAACCATGTGTACTTCATGGTTAGACCAATGTGTACCATATGTTCAAGACCATGTGTCTCTCATGGTTTTCCAAACCATCTATCGCTCATGTTAGGTTATATGTGAATGGATCATGTGTATCATGTGATTTTCAAAATTAGGCCACATCATGTGTACCACAAGATTTTCAAGTTATGATTTTCAACCGAAACAAAAACACAAAAATGAATTGATGAATTTTTTGAATTTCATTTTGGGAATTTGCACTTTTTTGTTTGTTACGTACAATTCTTTTGTGGGACTACTTGTCTTGGACAAAGGTTCTTGACTTGCTGGTCAAGAAACTTAACTATATATATACAATTAGTGGTGAGGCCGCTCACGTGCGTTGCACGACAAGGCATTGCCATAATGTGCGTTGTTTTGGCCCACCGCAGGGATCACTGCAGGCAACTACGGCAGAAGTGGACACACTGATCTATTAGGAATCAGGATCCTCTGTCGTGGTAGCTTGCAGTGATTCCTACGGTGGTATTTTAAACGACGTCGTTTTATTAAAGTTTTTTTTTTCCCATCCTCATAACTCTCTTTTCCTTTCTCTCTCATCCATTACAACCTAAACTTGACAGACAAAACCAGAACAGAGGAAATGAGAGAAAGACACTGAAGAAATAGAGTCGGCAAGGCGAGTCGGCGGTGAGGCTAGGTGAGAGAGGAGGAGCTCACATACCCTAGATCGAGGGTTTTCAAAGAGAGATCGGCGAAGAAAACACAACACAGCCATGGAAAGAGCCCAGAGTCGAACCTTCCTCCTCAACAGAACAGCAAGAGATGCTTTTAAAGTGGTAGAGCTAGAACTCAATTTCTTCTATGAAATTCTCTACACCAAGGCCAAGGTGTTGCGAGGTAGATATGGATTTCTTCTTCGGTTTGTTTCATTCGTGTTAACTGTGGTAGCCATTGTGCATTTTCATTTGATTGACAAGCAGGGATTCCAGAAGATGGATGTTAGAATCACCTACTTCTTGCTCCTTGGTGCCATTACCCTCGACATATCATCATTTCTCAAGGTCGGTTTCTCTGATCAGATTGCTGTGGTCCTCACTCAGTCCAATAATCCATCCTTGGTTGTTCGAATCCTCAGGAAATCCCTCAATGTTAATAGGGAAAGGTGGCCTGATGAAAACTCTAACTCTACCCAACATTGTACTACCTGTTCTTTTGGGAGGTTTATGCAAGTCATGCATCGCACGTGGTCTGAATCTATCTATCAACGCAACTTGATACGTTATTGTCTAAAAAGGGCAAAGTTCTTTGGCCATAAGAAGGGGTCAAAATATTACTTCTGGGTTAAATTCACCAATGACCTACGAGACTTTATCTTCGAGGAACTGAAGATGAAATCTAAGCTGGCGGATGATATAGAGACTGCCAAGGAGATACATCAAGCCAGGGGTGATTGGGTTCTTCGAGTGGAAGGTTGCACTGACTTACTCCATTGGATCAACGATAATGATTTTGATGAGAGCCTTCTTTTGTGGCACATCGCTACTGAACTCTGCTTTGCCAGAGAGGACATTTCTATGAATAAGGATTTTCGTGGTCTGTCAAAGATTCTGTCAGATTACATGTTATATCTTCTGCTGGTTCAGTACAAAATGATGTCCGCTGTGGCACGTATTGGGGAAAGAAGATTCCAAGATACCTGTGCTGAGGCCATAAATTTCTTCAGAGAAAGAAAAATAGGACAGTCTAAGAAAGTGCCTTTACACATACAAGCCTGCAGAAGTATCCTTAATGTCAATGTAACAGTTAAACCAGCTATTGTCAAGGGAGATAGAAGCAAGTCTGTGTTGTTTGATGCATGCATGCTTGCCAAAGAGCTGGAGGAATTAGGAGAGGGGAAAAAATGGGTGATAATTAGCAAAGTTTGGGTTGAAATGCTGTCCTATGCTGCCTCTCGTTGCACAGCTCTTGCCCATGCCCAACAACTGTGTAGAGGTGGTCAACTCATCACATTTGTTTGGTTGTTGATGTCTCATTTGGGCTTAGAGAATCAGGTTCAAATAAGTGAGGGCCATGAGAGGGCAAGATTATTTGTAGGAAAGTAGTTGAATGCATTTGTTGTGTAACAATAGATTGAAAATGTGTAATTTGTTGAGTAGTCTTCATTGGGAAATCTTGACTAGTCATCATCGGTAATAAAGAGATGTGCTTCTGGTTATGAATTTGAAGAAATTATTTTTTACTCTACTCTATTACTCTGTTGTTTACATTTACTGCAGAAAGAAATTAAGGGTTCATCATCAAGGAATTTACATTTTTAGCAAGAGAACGCAATGTCATAGTGAATGATGAATATATATATATATATATACACATAGTGCATGACTCTGGCCACATTTACTTTTGTTCTTAACATGATGCATTTGCTTAGTGAACTCGAGGAAACTTGAGAAAATTTTGGAGATGAAGTGTAGAAAGTTAGATGCTAGCCTTGTTCTGGCAATGTTTCTTGGGAGTTTATGGCATATTCTTATGTGGAGCAATGTTACACGGAAAAAATTCAGAGAACATGTAGCTAATATGGGATTGAAAAAAACCTAGCTAGGTGGTTTAGCTACTTATATAAGAGCATAATTGGATGACTCTGGGGATGCCTAGATAACCGATGTTTTGCGACTCTATCTTGCATAAAAATATGTGTTTGGTCAGGTAACAAGATAGAGGAACTGACAAGGTACGGATATCATAATTAGCATGAGATGTAAAGTTCATAATATGCAACGTGCTACTAGATGATATTGTCTACTTGATCAGCAAAAAGTCATTGATAAGGTATGTTAAGGAAAACCTTCAAGAATGAGTCCTAAAGGAAGTACTTAACAATAATTTCAGTGCAGGTTAACACATGAAAAATGTATGCGGCTGAAGTCGTCAATGGTGATTGTGTATGGACTATGAACCCAGCACTGAAAATTAATGCCGTTCATTTGAAATATAGTGAATGGAAGTCATTTGGAGTGTGTTATCAATGGGAGAACACATTCGTACGGGTGCAGTTAGATTGGTGGCAAAAACGTGCGCACGTATGGCCAAGTCACGATCAGACGTCGATCTATGAGGTAATTTCATAGATGAAAGTTGGCATGAGGCAAATTTTGGTACCAAGGTTAAAAATGCTCAACTCAGGTTTATCATCTTATTATGGTGTGTTCAAGTGGGAGATGATGGAATAAAGAGTGACCACACCATAATTTGGTGTGATGCACTTCACTCAATCATTTGTCTCTTGAATTGTAAAGAACCTTCCCGCGAGAATATTGAAGCCATCTGTTAGTTAGTTAATGGTTTGAATTCAAACATCTATAGACACATCTTTTAGTGAACCATGGTGACTGTTGCTATATGAAACAAATTCAAATTATATGCCTATTCCCAAAAGTCACTTATTGTGTATATAAATGCATAACAGCAGGATTGGAATTTATTGAATGAAAACCATAAGATTTTCTATTTTCTAACTTTCGGATAATAGATATTCTCGCGTGATAAACACCCTCACCGGTATTTCGATCAATTGTCGTTGTCAAGTTAATCTTACAGTGGTATCAGAGCCAATTTACACATTATCGCAGATGTCGAAATATAGTCCGGAAGAATGGAAAGTTTCTGAACTCTTTTTACCGAAAATTCAAAAAATCATTGACCGTCAATCTTCGGCATTGGTGAATTCTATTTGTTTATTTAATCATCACCAACGTGCTGTATTTCCAGAAAACTATCCGAAGAAAATAACTGTTGGTGGTGCTATTGTTCCAAACCTTGTCGAAAGTGAGACTGAATTGTACCATTGGAAGCAATTTTATAAAATATTTTTCGGTTCAAATTGCGTCTCCAAATTGGCACCATGTTGTTCTTCTTAGAATTTTGATCATAACGGTGAAATTCGTTGTGAAAAAGGGAGAAAAATTGACCCACAAAGTTCAATTTACAGTTTGTGGTCTCTAACTCCATTTGCCGGAGAAGAATATCAGAATAATTCCGTTGGAACATCTGTGTTGAGCATACCTTCTATTGGGCTAAATTCAAAAACAAAGAGGAAAGGCCCAAAAATAAAAATTACAGCAAGAAAATCTGTTCCCTTGGGCCTAAGAATTAAAAAGAAACCAATTGGGCCAATTTTGGTAGGAGCCCAAACCAGCCAAGCACAGCCCAGAAGCCCTGAGCCGCAAGCAGAGCCCATTAGCCCAGAGCCAGAGGCGTAGCCCAGGCCAGCGACACAGCCAGCCTAGTGCGCAGACCCGTGTGCCAGTCTAGTCCCACGCGACCCGCGCCCAACTGCCCAGTGCGCTGACCCATATTTCAGCCCAAGTCCGCGCCTTGACCAGCTAGTTCAGCCCCAGCCGGCCCAAATCGGTTCAGCCCAGCGCTTGGACTGTAGCAGCCTGGTCCAAATAGTTTTTTGGCTTGTTTTCGCTCATTTCAGGGCCGTTTTCAGCCATTCAAAGGCCAAAATTTCCAGAATTCTTCTAAGAATTTTTTCGTGGGTAATTGTACTAAATTTCTGGAAAGGGTGTTACACAGTAAAACGTCCAAAGGAAAAATATTTAATAAGCACCCCTTGGGCTCGTAACTATTTTTACAATACTCATAAGCAAAGTATTGGGTTTAATAGTCCATTGGGTTTTCATCATTCTTTTTACCCAAGGCAAGACGATCAAGTTTTTGCTTATCACAGGGACCGACGCAACAACTGCAAAGCTTATTCTTATTAAGACTTCTTGTTGTATTTAATTTTGCTTATTTGTTTATTTTAGTTTGTAATATCCACATTTGAATTTTTTATTGTAACACATTTTGTCTTTAGTATGGCTATTAAAAATGCCATGGATTCTTCAAGAATTGAGATACTTAACGGAAATAATTTCTGAGCATGGAAACGCTACATTTCTTATCTTCTTACACATGAAAAAACATTACACACTCTATCTACTTATAAACTAGATGATGATTCTAATTAGTTTCAAAATAAGTGGATGGAAGATAATGCAATGCAACTATGTTACATAATATGAAAGATAATATTATTCCGCTTTTTGAAGAACATGAAACTGCAAAACTATTAATAGAAGCACTTGAAAGTAAGTATGGAGTTCGATCGGACACTCAAATTCAATTGCTCTTGGACAAATATAACAATACTCGTATGAGTGATAATGATAGTGTTGGTGATTATGCTAATCAAATGGAATTAATGGCTAAAGAATTATCCAATGTTGATCACCCTTTGTCGGACAAGATGCAAGTAACTACCATACTTAATAGTCTTCTATTATCTTGGGATCATGTTGTCACATCTTTAACTCATAGCGAACGAGAGATTTCAATGGTGACATTGCCTGTACTCTTAGTGTTGGAAGAAGAAAGAATGAAGTGAAGGCGTAAAGAAGGTTTGTCTTCTAACTTGTTGATGGCACAATCTTCACCACAACCTCAGAATAATTCCCACACTCCATTCAACAAGAAAAAGACTACTTCTTTCAAGGAAAAATGGAAGAAGGGGTTTTAGAAAGGATGAAAGAAACAACAAGAATGGCAAAAACAACAACATCACAAGTATCAGATTGGCCCATGTTACAAATGCAGTCAAAAAGGTCATATCAAAGCCACTTGTCCTCTGAAGAAGTAGAAAAAGGATCATAATCCTATTGCCATAACAGTTTTTGAAGCAATGGTGCTTGAACCTTTATCAAATGCATGGTGGATTGATTCTGCTGCTACTAGGTATATTGTGCAAAATAAAGACATGTTCGTGGAGTTTACTGAAAAGAAGGTTGGTGAACACAAAATCTACATGGGCAACAACTCCTATAGTGATGTTTTGGGCATCGGCAACTGTCAATTCTCTATTAATGAAACTTCCATTGTGCTTCATGATGTGCTTCATAATGTGCTTTATGTACCCAGCATTCGCCGAAATTTAATTTCAATTTCAGTGTTAACCCAAAAGGGTTTTGAGATTAATTTTAGGTTTAACACAGTATTGATTAAGAAAGAAAGTGTATTAGTGAAAGGTGTGAGAGTGAATGACATGTACTCTCTTCCTATTGATAATAATAAAGTATGTATTTCTGATTATTTGCATGTTTCTACTAGTAATAGTTCTTATTTGTGACATTTAAGGTTAGGTCACATTAATAAAAATAAAAAGTCTCGAATGTTTAAAAGTGGCTTATTGCCTAAAGTATGTTCCTATGATTTTGATATATATGAACCATGTATCAAAGGCAAAATGACTAGTAAGCCATTTTTCAAACATTGGAAATTATCGGAATTACTCGAAATAATTCATTCGGACATTTGTGGCCCTTTAAGAACTAAAACTCATCGAGGCATAGAATACTTTATTACTTTCACTTATGATTATTCAAGATATGGACATATCTACCTTCTTAAACACAAATTAGAAGCAATTGACAAGTTTAAGGAATATAAATTAGAGATAAAAAAGCAACTTGGTTGATGCATTAAACACTTGAATAATGATAGAGGTGGCGAATATGAAGCTATGGATTCTTTCTGCAAGGACAATAGCATAAAACATTTGTTTACAATGCCATACACACCATAACAAAATGGGGTCGCAGAAAGATGAAATCGTACTCTCATGGAAATGACAAGGTCTATGTTAGCTCATGCTGATCTTCCTATTCATTTTTTGGTGGAAGCCTTGTCCACCGTTGTGTATATATTAAATAGAGTCAAAATAAAAGCCAAACCTCTAACTCCTTACGAATGTTGGCATGGTACTAAACCTAATGTTCAAAATCTCAAAGTTTGGGGATGTAAAACACATGTACTTATTCCCAAACCTTTAAGGGATAAATTGGGAAGCAAAACTTGGGAATGCAAGTGTAACGCCCCACTTTTTATTACTCGAAGTCATTATCAAATTCATTAGCTTAATTCAAGTTCAGAGATAACATGTAGAAATAAACTCTTTAGTCCCATGAGTAGAAATAAACAATAATTCTCTCATCCGAATGCAAATTAAATACAACATGAGCATACTAAATAAAATACCCGAAGGCTTACATCATTAAAGAATCAAAAGAATGATGTAACCCTTTTACACATATGGCATTCCGCCAACACGAAAGAGGCCCCGCGACCAACAAGTAAGAAGGTCCACATCTTGTAACACATCCTGCTTAATACCTGAAAAAGATTTAACAACGTGGAATGAACATATAGTCCAGTAAGGATCTCTACATGATCCTCAACAATAACAGCTTACAGATAACTATGATCATAAATGCTCAATCTCGTACTAGAAAAATAATGTGGCAGTTTATACAAAAGTATACATAAGTATAAGTTTTTCTCAAAACAGTCAATCCATTCAGCACTATAAGCGATTCATCTTTCATTTCATTTCATTAACCCTTGTTCCCAAACTTTCACAACAATAACAACTTCTTAGGAAATCAATTTCTCTAAGCCCATTATCTTTCTCCCATTTTCCATACTTACACGAATGTTCCCTTTTTCAAAACATACTTTCAAATACCCAACTTTCCTTCACACTTTCCCAAAATCTCACAATGGCATTTTCGTTTATACATCCATAACTATACATGCATGCCTTCAATATAAGGTAGATAACAAATCATCAACATGTATAGAATCAACAAATGAGGCAACTCAGCCCTCCAAAACTGTAACCATCACAATCCATGATATATTCAGATACACTGAAACAAAACAATAAAACCCTGCTCTACCGACTATATGCACAGTAAGCCAAAGATATAACTCTCACAATGGTATGCCATTTTACCAGGCGCTAGCTGGAAGGGTGTGGTACCTTAGATTCTCAGCGCAGTCAGTTCTCCAGGCACTAGCTGGAAGGTAACGGTACCTATGATTATAAGCGCAGGGTATAACACCAAGAATCACAATACAACAGAGTATAACCAACAAGTGTAATACATACACACAAACTATCAAGATACATAAGCAATGTGTTAAAGTATATGAACACATAAGTATGTGTGGAGTACATCCCCTATCTCCTCCCACACACTGGAGTACATCCCCTTTCTCTTCCCTAACAATTATACATATATAATGTATCATAGCACTTCATTACATACAATGTTCAATCAACACAGGTGTAATACATATACGACAATTCAACACAACCATGTCATCCTCCGCCGATGACCAAGGACAAAGCCTCTAGATGCATGATTTTAGTACATCTATTATAAAGACTCAACTCTCATGAGATCTTAAACCCAACAACAACACTAAGATGATAAGTAAAGGTAAAACCCCAAAAGTGCGTATTCAATACTCAAGATACAATATTCCAATCCCAAATTCATTTTCCATTTTCAAAATCGACTTGTTCCGCCACTTATTCCAAGAACACTTTTCCCATTTCACAAAACCAATATCATTCCTCTCATTTCACAAAAACAATTTCATTCTTTCATAATTTTCCAAATCAATTATACAAATTAATTCATAACAGTAAATTAGGGCTTTTCTCCCTCTTTCTCAATATTGACCCAATAGGCTCAAGTACCAACAACAAACAACAATAATCTCATTTGAGACCCAAAATACATACGTATTGGCCCAAAGTACAAAACCCCTCTTTTAGTTTACCAAATCAAATATAAATTAGGGCTTTTTCTTCTTTCAACAATATTATACTAATTTACACCCCAATTAGTCCAAATCACCATCAATGATAACAAACCCTTTTTCAATCAACCAACCCTGTTCACGCCCATGATTTTCAAACCAACCCAACATGGATATAATTTTCATGCAATACAAAACTACCACATATCTATCTATAGACGAAGCATTGTAAAAGAATAAGGAAATCCCTACCTCAAATGGAGAACCCAAGGGGAAAAAAAACAAATTTGGAAGTGCTCCAATTCCAAAGTTTTTCGGATCAAAATGAAGCCCACGTAACCCTCCAATTTTCTTACAAAGAGATGAGGGTAGGAACACCCAAGAACTAGATCAATCTCTAGAGAGAAGTTGTATTCTAGAGAGAGAGGCTCTCAAAATAGGGTTTTAAAAAGTAGGAGAGAGAGAGAGCGTGTGTAAAAAGTGATTTAAAATATCACAGTCCAGATCTGATATACATATAACCCATTCGAGCGGAGAATAGGACGCTCGAGCGTCAAACACAAAAAACTGAACCCGCTCGAGTGCAAAAAGACCCGCTCGAGCACCAAGACACAAAAATAAAACACACCCGCTCGAGCACAAAAGAAGAGCCGCTCGAGCGTAGATTACACTCATCCAGCATTTTTACAGAGTTCGAACACCCGCTCGCGCGCCAAGATACCCGCTCGAGCGCGACCCGCTCGAGCATAAGGAAATCTGCTCGAGCATGAAAAACACATCTGTAGTAGTTTTGCAGACGCACAAGATACTGAAAATATGCGGACTCCGCTTGAGCGCAAAGGGACCCACTCGAGCGGATCACCTAAAACCTGGGCAACAACACTAGAGACCAAAGCTCAACCACCCTGTTCAAAACACGCCCAAAACATTTCTAAACTCACTTACTAAGAGTTAAAGGATGGAAATGCAACACAGACAACAACCATCTACCACAGAACCGAGTCCGGGATAAAAAAAAAAAAGAAAAGGGAAAATCGGGATCGCTATAGCAAGTTTATTGGTTTTGTCGAAAATAGTAGTGGTTATCGTTTTTACCATCTAGAACGTGGATTAATAGAAAGTAGAGATGCTATTTTTCTTGAATCTACTGATCTTGTTACTCCTATTGAACAAATTGAATTGCAGTCCTATGTATCTCAGGATTTTTCTCTTCTTTCTTTGACACCCAATCCACCAATTCTCCAACCATCTAATAGTGGGAGGAAACGACAATTACATAACGTTGTTTTACCTACTTCAAATCCTAAGATAAGTGAGAGTAAGAGAGCAAAACATCCATCTACGTTTTTGAAAGATCATTATGTTTTTCAAGTTGAAGAACTTAATAACTTAGTAGATGATCCTACTAGTTATAATGAAGCAATAAGTAACAGTGATGCTACACAATGGCTTGAGGCAATGAATGAAGAACTTGACTCGATCAAGAAAAATGATGTTTGGGAATTAACCGATCTCTCGCATGGAAGAAAAGCCATTGATTGCAAATGGGTTCTTAGAAATAAATTCAAAGTAGATGGAAGTTTAGAGAAATACAAGGCCAGGTTAGTAGCCAAGGGATTCACTCAATAACATGGAATAGACTTCGTAGATACATATTCTCCTGTTGCAAAATTTGCCTCAATAAGAATTCTAATGGCGGTAGTAGCCAGGATGGATTTGGAATTGCATCAATTAGATGTTAAAACAGCTTTTCTCAATGGAGAATTAAAAGAGGAAATTTATATGATGCAATCTGATGGTTTCTAGAACCAAGACAACGAGGATAAAGTTTACAAGTTGAAGAAATCTCTGTATGGACTTAAACAATCTTCAAGACAATGGTACTTGAAATTTCACCAAGCCATTTTAGAAATGGATTATGTTGTGAGTCCATTAGATCACTGTGTTTATATCTGAAAAAATGATGACAAGTTAGCAATATTGTCTTTATACGTGGATGATATATTGTTAGCAAGAAATTGTCTAGATATGATTATAAAAACCAAAACTTTCTTGGCATCTAGATTTGAAATGAAAGACATGGGTCTTGCGACCTATGTTCTAGGAATTAGAATTTCAAGAGATAGAAATTCAAAATTATTATATCTAGATCAAGAGAAATATCTTAACAATGTGCTCAAAAGATTTAATATGGATAACTGTAATTCTTTAAGCACGCCTGTTGCAAAGGACAAAGTCTTAGTAAAAGTATGAGTCCTCAAACTAAGTCTGACATTGAGGAAATGAGAAATCTCCCATATGCTCAGGTAGTAGGCAGCCTAATGTATGCTATGACAAGCACAAGACCAGACATCTGTCATGCAGTCGGATTGGTAAGTAGGTTTCAATCCAATCCAAGTACGGAACATTGGCAAGCAGTCAAAAGAATATTTAGATATTTAAAAGGCACTAAGAATTTGAAATTATGTTTTGATTTGTGTGATCTAGACATAAAAGAATACACTGACGCGGATTTTGCAGGAGATGTAAATGATAGAAAATCTACTAGTGGTCATGTGTTCTTGTTTGGTGGAACAACAGTTTCTTGGTTAAGTAAGAAACAGAGTTGTGTTGCAAAGTATACTATGGAAGCTGAATACATAGCTTGCAGCACAGTCGTGAGTAATGCGGTCTGGATATAACGTTTTGATGATAGTTTACAATTAGGTATATCTGCTAGACCGGTCAATATGTTTTGTGACAATTAGCCCGCCATCTCATTAATAAAAAGTGGAGCGAATAGCTCTAAGGGAAAACATATTGATGTAAGTTACCACTGTATTTAGGACATAGTGGAGAGAGGTGAAATTAAAGTCAACTATATATCCTCAGAAAAGATGGTGGCCGACCCTATGACCAAAGGGTTGTCTCTAGAAAAATTCAGAGAATAGGTGGTTTAGCTACTTATATAAGAGCATAGTTGGATGACTCTAAGGACGCCTAGATAACCAATGTTTTACGAATCTATCTTGCTTGGAAACATGTGTTTGGTCAGGTAATAAGATAAAGGAACTGACAAGGTACGGGCATCATAGTTAGCATGAGATGTGAAGTCCATGATATGCAACGTGTTGACTAAACGATGTTGTCTGCTTGATCAACAAAAAGTCGTTGATAAGGTATGTTAAGGAAAACCTTCAGGAATGGGCCTTGGAGGAAGTACTTAACAAAACTTTCGGCGCAGGTTGACACATGAAGAATGTGTGCGGCTGAAGTCGTCAATGGTGATTGGGTATGGACTATGAACCCAGCACTAAAAATTGATGTCGTTCATTTGAAATATAGTGAATTGAAGTCATCTGGAATGTGTTGTCAGTGGGAGAATACATTCGTACCAGTGCGGTTAGATTAGTGGCAAAAACGTGCGCACGTATGGCCAAGTCACAATCTGGCGTCGATCTATGAGGTAAATTTGTAGATGAAAGTTGGCATGAGGTTAAAAACGCTCAGCTTAGGTTTATCATCTTATTATGGTGTGTTCAAGTAGGAGATGATAGAATAAAGAGTGACCACACCATAATTTGGTGTGATTCACTTCACTCAATCATTTCTCTCTTGAATTGTAAAAAAAATTCCCGCGAGAATATTGAAGCCATCTATTAGTTAGTTAATGGTTTGAATTCAAACATCTATAGGCACATCTTTCAGTAAAACATGGTGACTGTTGCTATATGAAACAAATTCAAATTGTATGCCTATTCCCAAAGGTCACTTATTGTGTATATAAATGCATAACAGCAGGATTGGAATTTATTGAATAAAAACCAGAAGATTTTCTATTTTCTAACTTTCGGATAATCGATATTCTCGTGTGATAAAGACCCTCACGGGTATTCTGATCAATTGCCATTGTCAAGTTAATCTTACATATATAAATATATATATTCATATAGACAAAATGATTAGAAAATCCCATGACATAAACCATGTTGACAACTTTGGTTTATTTTTTTTATTTCAATGTTGTCTTATGTATAACAGAAACTCTTGGGTAAGGAAAGTTGCGAAGAAAAAGCAGTGTGTAAATGATTTAATTGATGTATTGTGAAATTTATGTATAGAGTAAATTTAAAAACTTTATTATTGTTACTAGATAAAATTCTAAGTAAACTTTCTTGCAAAAGTACAATATTTAGCTATTAATTTTTTTTAGTCGGGGTATGTCTCCCAAATTTGTAATATTTTGCGTGTAATGAAAACAGTGATTTGTGTGTTGTGCATCGTGGTTATCATATTATTATTGTGTATGTACACTCCATTGCTATAACATTTATTTATTACCCTTGTACGTAAGTTGTGTGTGTAACAAGTACATGCATTGTCATCGTGTTATGTAAACGTTACCTTTTGTTAGTAATTATCATAGTAGTTTTGTTATACGTTATTTCTATTTTATTTCGTAAAACGTATTGGTTTCGAGTTTATTGTCAACATGTATTCGGCAACTGCATGCTAATGTCTAAAATACCTGCTCTCATATTAGTGTAATGGTTGCAACACAGTCATCCCCGCGTACACCATCTAAAAATAAAGGGGTGGTTTGCCCATCAGGCCCAGAAGGATTTGTTCATGACTTGGAACATGCACATAAAGCAACATAGGATAGTGCATCCACAGAAATCTTCTTAGAGTGTGTTAGAGATGAAATCTCAGCATGACGTAGGGTAGGTACAACCATCACCATAGTAGGGTATAAGGAAATTGCACTGAAATTCGCTAAGCGAATGGGTAGACGTCATGAAATGAAACAATTGAAGAACAAGTACCTTGGTTTGAAAAAGGAATGGCAGGCTTGGAACAAGTTAATGGATAGCAGTAAGGGTGTCACCGGTATTGGGTTTGACAGGGAAACTGGGTTGTTCACAGCATCAGAAGAGTGGTGGGAAACGCTAAAATCGGTATGTGACAAGTTAAATTTAATTGTACATATTATATATTTCACTTGTTAGTAAATTGTTAATTGATTGTCCCATGTTATTGTTAATCAAATTACGTTACTAATGTCATTACTTTGTTGTTCTCAGTTTTCATTAATTTTTTTTTTCTCATTTTCATTTGCAGACGACCAAGATCGCCTACAAATTCAAGACCAAACCACTAGAGCACAAAGATTTGATGCTCGAAGTATTCACAGGTGCAAATGCAACTGGGAAACATAATTGGACCCCCGGGGAGCAGGCTGCAGACGTTGGCAACGGTGAATCCGATTTAGTGGATTATCCTGGGTTGCATCCATTTACTGAGCTATACAAACAAGTCTTCAACTCACCTCCACACTCCCCCACCGTACATGTTGATGAGGCAGACCATGGAGTAAAGAGGAAGAAAGGGGTAGTACAAGTAAAAAGTTGAAGAAGATCTCCAGTGGAGCATCAGTTCTTGTGAACAGTTTTAACCATCTCTCTTAAGCAATTCGATCACAGAAGCACCTCACATTGAGGCACGGAACTGGTGCATCGCAAAAGCATGGCATTGAGGCATGTATGCAGAGGATTATGGCTGTACCCGACTTCATCAATACACCCCTATACATTTTGCCTGCATTGCGTTAGAGAACTCGGGTTATCAAGAGATACTGATGTGCATGCTAGATGACGAGAAGGTGGTCAGGGTGGCTTGCTGCATTGAAGGCTTCAAAAGGGCTGTGAGTAGTTGGTTTGGTTCGTTCGAGGAAAATGGGACCGAAAATGGTTTGCTATAGTGTGGTTTTTGTGGACTCGTAGTGTTGTTATGTTTTTTTTTTTTTTTTAAAAATGAATGGCACATTATTGATAGTTGCTTTAAAGCATCACTTTTAGTAGTCTCTATCATTGCCTGTATAATGACCCACATTTTTATCCATTTGGTTCAGGAATTTATGCTAAGGCTTTGTTTGGGATATATATTTGGGCTAAAATAATTATATAAGATAAAATTGATATATTTTAGTTAAATATGACAAAATGTCACATTTAACATACAATTATTTTATTTTTTTCTTATAAAAGTTAAAAAAGTCAAAAAATTTATCTCATACAAAATTTTTTAATCCTAAACTAAAATAATTAAAAAGTCAAAAATCAACTCACATCCCAAATGAATTATAAAATGGAGTACGTTAATTTTTTGTCTTTTTGTTTTTGCTATTCCATTTTCTTTTTTACCGTGTTTTTGATTTTGGGGTCAAGATTGTTGATAACAAAAATTTGCTCATCAAAACTCATACAATTCAAAACCCATATATAATGGGGGAGTTTTCTTTAGAAAAAAAATGTCTTATATGAACTATTTTTAAAATTCATAATCAAACATTTCAATCAAAAAATTTATTTTTACAAAATATGCATACTTTATTTTTGTAAAAAAACGAAATATTAGACGATGTTGAAAATATGTAATTGAAGAAATGTTTTTGTGAAATAATTTATACAAATTGTAACAATTTTTTTTTGCATCATAATTTTGTATGTTGAATATTTTGTGTGTGTGTGTTGGGCATGAAGATTTTAATAAAAAATTTCACAAATTTTTTCAAAAGTCATAACCAAGCCAAACTTGTCAAATTAAAAAATTCTTTTAACCCAATATTTTGCAAAACTCTTGTTTCGACGACAAAAAAAAGAAAAGAAAAAGAAAACTGTGTTGTGAAAATACGTATGTATTTGCAAAATAAACTATTACTCCAATCCATTTGACCACATTTGTTAACAATTGTACAAATGTTTTTTTTTCTGATCGTCAAATTAATTTTGTATCGGTTCATTTTATTTTATTTTTTATATATATTT